GGTGTAGAGCTGTGGGGGGGGCACTGGCCGCTGGGCAGTGACAAGCGGGCCCAGCAAATGAAAGATTTACAGGCTGCAGCGGTGTGGAATCCCGGGTGCTAAGTTGCTTTCTACATTTAGTCAAGCAGGACTAAATGTAGTGTTAGGAAGCCAATTGTTTATTTACAATAAGGCTCCGGGCTCCGTCTTCCCCCTCCCGCCGAGTCTCTCTCCTAAATGGCGGCCAATGCGGGGAGCAGAGCGGCAGGGTTAAAAGTAACCCTGCCGCTCCGTGTACACAGTGAGAGGGGAGAGCAGTCTTCCCCTCTAACCTGGTCAAGCAAAACAAATGACAAACACTCAACAATTCGTCACCAGCTATACAGTAAGGTGCACACGAAATGGGCTTTGAACAGTAAAACAGTAGAAAGGTATCATGGCACCCAATTTGAAATCTTCTGCCCCCATGTGCTCCAAGATGGAGACTCTTATAGTTTAGAGTTAGGACCGCACTATAAGAGGTGCCTTGGCGCGGCTGTGCGGCTTTCACATTTTCTGCAGAAGACGTGTATCCAAACCTCTGTTATTAACCTTAGTGGTGAGACAAGTTGTTTTACATGCTGGTTTGTGAGTGTGTCATGATACCTTTCTACTGTTTCCCCTCTAACCTGCCACAGGAGTTCCAGCACAGGGTCAATAGAGAGAACCTGTCACCTCCAAATGCTATCACGCAGGGGCTTGTTAGCTCCTGTGTGTTAGCAATACAGTTAAGTGAAAAAAATAATAAAAAAACAAATAATAAAAATTAAAAAAGTAAAAAATAATAGGAAAAAAATGGTGATTAAAAAGTAAAAAATATCATGGCCCACTTGCCATGATAACCAGTTGATTGCAGGCTCCATCCTTACAGGGACCCAGGCTCCCCTGCATAGAAGGAGGACAGGAGCCTGCCAATCAGCTTGTTACTATTCCCTGGGTGATATTTGGGGGGCGTACAGGGACAATGAGGGCATGCTGGAACTTGTAGTTCCCTGGGTAATATTTTGTGGGTGTACAGGGACAATTAGGGTATGCTAGGACTTGTAGTTCAATTACGATATGTCCTAGCATGCTCTCATTGTACCCGTACACCCCCACATATCACTGGGGGGCGCAACATTTTGTTCTGCCCCGGGCGCCCGTTACTCTGGTTACGCCGCTGCTCTACAGCCAGTGACAGCAGACCAGTCCATGATTCTCATGGGGTGAGGGGAATCTCTGTTGGGCCCACAAGCATTGTCAAATATGCCAGCCTTTCTGACAAAAACTAATTTGGAAGAATATTGATCTAGGCTTCAAAAGAACGTACACATCTGCTCGCCCAGAATTCTCTAATTTCTAGAGTGTGCAGGACTGAACTTCAGATGAACACACATCATAATATTATTTTTCCACTGTTTCAGCTATAGAATAAATAGTCTACACACTTCTTACAATTGCTGTATGCAATATCAATTTCTATATACAATAACTAATAATTCAAACCATCGTGTAATAAAAATGCTTTTTCTGAAACCTCTCTGTTATCTCCTTTAGATTACTTGAGCCCAGTGGAAGAGAATCCTTTTGTTTCCAGAAGAAAAAATGGAGATCTTCAAGCTCTAGATAATCCTGAATACCACAATGGACCTAGTGGGCAGCCAAAATCAGAAGATGAATATGTCAATGAGCACCTTTATCTTAATTCCTTTGCCAAGCCCAAGGAGAATCCAGAATATCTGAAAAACAATGGACTTACCGTGCCAGAAAGAGCCAAGAAGGCATTTGATAACCCAGAATACTGGAATCATAGCTTGCCACCCAGGAGCACCATCCAGCATCCTGATTACCTGCACGAGTACAGCACAAAATACTTTTATAAGCAGAATGGACGTATCAGGCCAGTTGTGGCTGAAAACCCAGAATATCTGACCGAGTTCACTCTAAAACCAGGCACTGTCCTTCCCCCTCCTCCCTACAGGCACCGGAACACTGTTGTGTAGGAGTTTCAGTATTATGAAAATAGGGAGAAATCCCTACTCTTTTTGGATACTCTGAGCCCTCCCTAAGAGCCACCTTAATTACTCTGGTGTGCTTCTCCATGCCAGATCACTTGCATCAGAAGGTTAAAGAATGCTATAGATTTTGTATTAATATTATTTATTAAGGAGAGCACTTGATGAAGTATCCAGACTGGCAGCTTGCTCTCTGTGGATTGAGACAACTTTGACTGTCATTTTAATGACCAAGCATCAGTAGAAACTCTATGAAGCAGAAGTACTTTATTTACTTACCTTTATTTTTCCTGCAGCAAACAGTACAGCGTATCAGCTCATTATATCATTCATGTCAAAAATCACAATGTTTAAGCCCTAACGCTTGTTTCTTATTCCACTAAACAAGACCATTCAATACCGTCTTCCACTGCCAGTTCCTACCATTAACTAGGTACCAGTAATAATTAACAATGATATTAATTATTCCATGCTGGTGGATAAGACATGCAGGGTCCCATTTTTGTCTGCATAACATGTGGTAAGCACTATTAATGTTAATATCCATATTCTTCTCCAGAATTCAGGTTTACTTGTTACAGCTCCATAAGAATGCATTGTCTTGGTTAAAATATCTTGCTCAGAGCATTCATGTTTGGATCTACAAGGTGAAACTATACAGTTCTTCTGCTTCATACTTGAAGGACTTGCTGGTGCTGATCATAAAGTCCATGGGTTAGACTAAACCCTACTTGTCCCATTTTGAGGACGATGTGTTGTGCCATTAAAGTTTCAAGGCGTTCTGAAATGTCTATACATTCTATGGATATAAGCTGGAAAAGGATATTTTTTTTTTTCTGATTCATCCAAGAAGTCCTAATTACAAACAAGAAACAGTGATGTACAAAAGCCAAGCTAATGTTTATATTTTTTATTTATTAAACCCCATTGAATTTGTCAGTATCATATTGTATAATAAGACAAGGAATATAGCCTCCAATAAGCATACCGCCATGGTTTAAATATTCATCTCATAATACAGTGCATCTCTACCACTGGCACTAGAAAAAGCCTAACTAAAGATACTGGAGAAGAAAATGAGCAAAGTTCCATCCTCTTGATCTGGAGTCTCATCTGCAGTAAATGTGACATAAGTGTTTGTAGCCATGCGCTTTTGTTTAAATATTTCTTCTGTATCTTCACCAGCTGAAATACCACAGGCTGGTAAACAATGAGAGAAGCAAGACTTGGAATGTAGCTGTTACTTGCATTCTTTTGGAAATTAAGATGGTTCTGGAGTTAGCCAGTGGTGATTACAAGTGAACTGTAAGGAAAAAATAATGCAGCAGGGAATTGCAGACTTTAGAAAGTCCGTTTTGCACTTAAATGGTTATTTTTGTCCTTTGACAGACAGTTGTGTTTTTTTTTTTAATATATATTTTTTTTTCGTTATTTCGTGCTTTGATTTTTGAATGAAGCAATATGAAAGCAACCAGCAAATTAAGCGATGAATACTGGAATGTGGACAAAAAAAAGGTTAATTTTCTTGAGTATAAGCTATAGAATTATACATTATGTATCATGTTAGACAGGGCGATACAGGTTAGATTATGGGAGTTTGAGATGTTCGGTTATGAAAAACATTGTAACTAAGTAATTAGAACTGGAGGAAATGAAAATTGGTGTCATTGTCCATATCAATCAATCAGTTTAGCAACCAGGAAAAATTAGAGATGCCTAAATACATCTTGTTTCTCCAGTTTTGGGAAATTCAAATTTTTCACCTACAGCTGATTTTAGCAGCTACACCTAGTCACTTTTGAGGCTTCTTCATATTGATGAAGAGGGTGCAGGTACTACTTGGGTCTTCCTGGAGCTTGCCTCTTAAGGTTGGGGACACGAATATCCCCGTTCGATTTACACCATGATCTTTTAATTTTGTACTTTTTGGGGATTAATTAAATTGATTACTGGGAGAGATTGGTCTGATGTATTAGACTGCTTCAATTTTGAGAACCTCGCCTTGAAAAGCTGCAGCTAGTATATCTTATCTTATAAAGGAGCATAAGAGTTTCTCCAAAAAAAGAAACTTAGAACAATGTTATTTCATGAACAGAACAACTACTTTTGATAAGATTTAAATTGTTCTACCATAATTATAGTTGACATTATACTTTATAAAAAGGTTTTTATTTTTTTCTTATTTTTTTGGGGTGGGGGGTAAATATATTAGAAGCACAGACAAATATATATTGTATGCCTCACTTTATGGTTTTTTTTTTCCAGTTTTCTTTTGTTTTGCATTTTTTATATGATTGTCATAGTTCCATGCGATCTGTCTTTGTACATTGTGTAGAAATGTGAGTACATGTATTGTAGTATTAAAGTGTTACATATACATTTATGAATTTATGTGAACATAACACAAAATCACATAGATGCATAAAATTAAATCATGTTCATGCTCTTCTTGCCAAATACATTCATGAGTAAAGGGACTCATTGCTGGCAACTAAAACTGCATGTGTTTATGGTATAGCTAAAAACCTCCTTAAATCCATTCTCAAGTGAGCCTTTAAAGCCTTGGTTCTCAACTGATGGGTCGTGACCCAAAAGTGGGTCACGACCATGTGTTCAATGGGTGGCGGCATGTGTTCCACTTTTTTAGGCGAGAGGCTCTTCAGCCTTCTCCTAGTGCAGCACTGTCAGTTCTCATGCCAATCAGCCATTCAAAATATGCTGCCCGGCACCGAGCGTCAGCTTGAGGTGGAATGGGCTTGGGATATAGCCGCGAGGAAGCTCCATCCATACGTGCATTGCTTACAGCTCCCTCACGTCTCTTATATAGGTGCCTGGACCGGAGTGACATCACATTCTGGCTCTCAGCACCTCCACAGGGCGTGCAAGAGAGTTGTACAAGCGATGCACATATGGATGGAGCTCCGTCACAGCACAGCAGCCCATACTAGATCCCAGGCTGAGGATCCACACCAGTTTTTGTAAGATAGGGAGACTGGGTAGACCTAAAAAAAATAATATATACATATAAAAAAAAATGTTTTAGTTTGTATGTGTGTGTGAGAATGTGTCTGTGGTTGTGTGCGTCTGTCAGTGTTTTGGGGGCCCATTCACACTAGTACAGTGCGTTAATCACATAGTACCGTGCGATTAACGCACTGTATCACGCAATCACTCCTACTGTGGGTCCTAAGGTTACACAGGTTGAGAACCACTGCTTTAAAGGGTATTGCTAACTTTGTGGCACCAGCTTTGCAGCTGACATCATCTTAAAACAAGGTAACATCCCTGGATTTTAAATAAAGTAATAGGAAATTATCATATTACTCTAAAATATATTGGCTCACAATGGATAAAGGACTTCGCTTTTTTGCTCCTGAGTTGCATACATACCAAATCTACTATATTCTTGCTTAATAGACTATCATCTTGAGTATGGAAGAGATTTAAGAAGAAATACACAATATATCTTTGGGCATCAAAGGGAGGAGCACATTATCTGCAACTGCAGCTAATCTTAGAGCAATCTCAAATTAAAGCTGAAGACAAGATATATCATGACACTGTAGTGCCAAACTATAGTTTATGCACTTGCATACATTTTTCTGCATTAACACTGCCAGCTGCTTAGCACTACTCATGATGAGGAAGGTCTTACTACTACTCAAATGCATGGTATGTAGGGTCTGGATGTGTTCATAAGGGTTGAATGGAATCTCCCTCCAACTGAACAGCTTGGAGTGGGTTCAATAATGGCTATGCTCCTACTTCTAAGTGTTGTCAAGGATGGTCCTTGGAAAGAGTTGTATCAGACATGAGTGATGTGGAATTCCAAGGTACGAAAAAAACTTTTATCATCAAAAGGTGCCTGGATTTTGAGTGCACCTAGTGAAATCAATGTCAGTCATGAAAAGTGTTCATTTAGTGCAGTAATTTTCTGCGCTCATATGTTAATATTATGTAGCATTAACAAATACTGCTGTAAAATGGGTCGACTATTAAATATTACCAATAGCAATGGAGGTATATGCAGTACAGCTTGGTTGCATATTTTTCTGTGTGGGAATTAAACAGAGCAGCTCTAAGTAAGAATGGCAGCTAAATATGAAAGCTAAGCATCTGATAAATAATGAAAATCCCTTTATATTCCGTACATAGGGAAAAGATGGGATCCCTATACCTGAGATATAAAAATGAAGATACTTTGGGGATGATTTACTGAGGGAGTGGATCATGTTCACTTTGCAAGGAAATTTCCACTTTGCAAGGCATTGTTCACTTAGCTTGATAAATGTTGAGAAGCTCCTTGCAGATGATTGAATATTCTTTGCAAAGTGCATTTTCCCCATATTCATTAAGCTAAGTTAAAATTCCCCTTTAAAGTGAAAATTTGCTTTCAACATGCGTTACTCCTTTGTAAATCAACCCCTTTATGTATGAAGAAACATCTATCGAATCAACTCACCAAACTGTACTTATAACAAACCTTATATTTATGTCTACGTTTTTACCACAGCCCTTATTGGAACTCTGATACTAACAGGGTTATTCACAAAAGGGTGAAGAGTTTGGAGAAGGCAGGAGGAGTGAACAATCTAGGACAAAATAGCTGATTTGGAAAAATTCTCCAATTCATCTCACTTTCCAGTTCAGCTATGTTGTCCTAGATTGTTCACTTCTCCTGCTTTCTCCAAACTCTTCACCCTTTTGTGAATAGCCCTGTAAGTTTCCAAGAGTGACCAATCAGTGAGTTCAGAATGTATTGTGTTCAAAAGTACAATGGTAATATCTGGCTGCTATAGTGATACAGCATTTACTCATTGCCCTCATTGAACTAGTAAGTGTTTGAGACTGGTCAGCTAAGGAAAGTTGGTCTTAGGCTGGGCTGTTCAGCTCATTGCTCTTGTGACCCATGCTAAGATAGACATATTGAAAAAAGATGATGATGAATAATGATTAGGGCAGTGGTGATGACGTTGTCTACTTTTTAAAAATTATAACAAATAAAAGGCTACATATTCAGCTGACTATCAGCAATATATTTTGTAAAGGATATGAAAGGATAAAGGATATGCCTCCTGGTGACAACATTACCAGAAAGTTACTTCTGTAGAAATTAATGCATAAACTCAGACACATCACTTATACTTTTGATTGCTGTTTTAAGAGGCGCATAATGAGATTTTGGATTTTAATCATCTTAATTTAAACGCTCCATTGTTTTATATTTTCCCTTGTTCCAGTGTCTAAACCATTCAATATTAGAGGCTTGTCCTTATTCGTAACGCGTGTTTTTTTTCCAAGCAAATCGTTAATATGATTTACCATTTTAATATAACAGTTTCATGGCTAATGGAGTTTATTTAGGCTGCTCTGTACTGTCACCTTTTCTGAAGTGTCAGTCTTAGTCATCTACTTGCCTGAAAGCATTAGCTTCATGGAAAAATGAATTGTTTTGCGGAGAAGCATTGAATAACTTTGCTGTTGTTTT